TGTGGATGGAAATGGAACAATTGATTACATTGAATTTATAACTGCTACGATGCATATGAATAGAGTGGAAAGAGAGCACTACTTTTTTTTTTTATCAGCAAAGAGAGCACTACTTATACACTGCCTTTGAATATTTTGACGAGGACAAGAGCGGGTAAGCTTCTCTCTCAAATTTATTGTTATCTTATTATGTTACACATCAGCAAAACAATTTTTGTTCCCATTTTTGCCTAAACATAGTTGTAGGACTGATTCTTAAATAATTTATGCTTTGTCATTCTTGCCTCTTAATTTAGGTACATCACAATGGAAGAATTCGAGCACGCCCTGAAGAAGTATAATATGGGCGATGACAAAACAATAAAGGAGATTATTGCAGAAGTTGACACAGACAACGTATAGTTTCTCTCCTTTATTAATGCAATGCTTATCTAGCCTTTTTTATTCTCCTCATACATAGAAATTTCATATCGAAAAAATATAGTACTTCATGTCCGTGTTTCTTTGTCATCCAACAACTATACTCGGACTAGCGGACATGTTATTTTTCAAAAATGCAAGACACGACACGCTTGTGGCATGTTAAAATTTCATATTTTTACAAATTTATTATATATCATATATATGATTGTTTATATATTTCGTAACTTAAAACATCAAAATATCTTTTATGTTACAATTACGTTCTAAAGAATGCAAAACAATTATAGAAATTGTAATACACGTGTTATATGCATCTTATAAATATTTCAAAATATATTTAGAAGAACGCATAAATTGTGTTATGAAGAATGCATAACATTGTTAATAAGAAAAAGTTATCACTTATGACGTGCGTAGAGGGTTTAAGAAGTATCGCTAAAGTATCGTGATCACGATACGCTTCCTCCGCTAAAGTGTCCGTTCCTTTTAGACTATAAATGCACTGTCTTTTGATTCCAAAACTCATGATGAATTAGCACTTCGAAAATGTATCCTTTAATTCTTTTGCAGGATGAAAGAATTAACTACGATGAGTTTGTTGCCATGATGAGGAAAGGCAATCTGGAGATGGTCCCAAACAGACGTCACAGATAAGATTTTTCAACGTTACATTGACATATGTTTTTCCAGCTTGAGGACATGATTTGTTGGTCTAACTGGGGCGTGTTGCAACTGGGATTGAAAATTGTTCTTAGTTTGGCTACCTAGAATCACGGTGACAGTTCTTGCTTTCTGGACTGGTTTGTGGTTTGTCTATACCTGCCTTTACACACAGAAATGAATTAGATTGTCGTCATTTTGCTACATAATTATACTACCAGAATGTGTGATTGTTTACTCTCTACTTGTTTCCAAATTAAGCACAACTCTCTTTCTGAGTTATGAGCTTCCTTAACTTCTATCTTTTTTTCTTTTTCTTTTATTTATATATTTTTTGAGAACTGTCTACCTTGTTTTACAATGCAAAGGACCATGAACAATTTGCATGACTCATGTACCATATTAGAAAAACTATTCAAGCCTAGCACATAATCCGATTTATGTGCACTTAGAATTTTTCAAAATTATTTAATGTCTTGAAACCAGTCGTTGGGAATGTTATTTAAAGTTTTAATCTAATTTTATTCCAACTTAGAGCTTGAAAAAAATATTGGTTGTAACCGTGTTACAATCAACCAAATGAGTTGAATGAGAGTAAACTTAAGATGTTCTTGTAATCAAATTATGCATAATGCATTCACATCCGTATATTGACTCAAATTAAAATTTCGATAAAAAAAATTCAAAATTCATTTAAACTTTTTGTTTCATACTCATATCAATTTGAGTTTTATTCATTTTTTACTCAAATGAAAAAAGATTTAATTTAAATATTGACTCAAACATCCAACAGTTTGGTAAATAACACTATTAAAATATGATGAGATTTTTTTTAAAAAAAAAATATGAATAAAAATTAAAGACTATTTGATTTTGAGATTTTAAAAATGATTTTAACTTCTTTTGTTTTTAGTGAAATTTTTAAATATTTAAAAAAAAATTGTTTCTTAACTTAAATGGACTTAAAAAATAAAATATTTGTAAAGAAATATTTAAAAAAATTGCATTTAGTAATTTTTTAAAATTATGTTCATATATTTTTTTTTTTTACTTTTTAGGTGTGTTTAAATTAAATAAATTTTAAATGTAAAAAAAAAAATTCTTAAAATAGTTCAGAAAGCCCACTAAATTATGTAATAGCGCAACAATCAATTTCCAAACAAAATAAAAGTTTACCATTAGAATTTTTGTTGAAATATTTACTTAAATCAGCGTATAAAAACTTCAATCATGATTGGAGGATATAATTTATATGTATTTTGAGATGAAGCTGATTCATATATTTTCTCTTGTACCTTTTGACAAATAGCTTGAAAGCCCCCAATTCACTTGTATGATATGTTTAGTTGGTGACACAGGCACATAGGTACGAAAGGCGATTAAATTACTTCCGAAACATCTCTTGTGTTGCATTTTCTAAGTTTTTAACTAATCATGGTGTGGTTAGTTCTTGACTACAAGCATCCTCGTAGTGTTGTAGGGATTTTAACAGTTACTTCTGACAATAGGTTGAAAGAATGCACCTTTCATTAGCTTAACTTCAAAATTAGAGAAATTTATTTAATTTCATCATCTGTTTGGGTATCCACAATGTAAAATTTTATTTTATTGAAGTTTCTTGTAAATGCTTACCGTTACTGAAATTTACAGAAATTGGTGCTTTAAAAAAAAATATCATTGCCAACGGGCGAAACTCGGTAATAAATATTATTCTATGCATGATATCTACCTAGGGTTCAAACTGTCTATACAGGGTTTGAGCTCAATGTGCTTACAAGATTCGTAAATAATTTGAATGTTTATGTAAATGAAAATCAGTTATATTTTACTTTCTTTGTAGATTCAATGTCATTTCTTATAACTTTGGGGTTCTTTCTTATTTTGCTTTGACATTTAAATTATTACTCAAAGAATTGGCAAAAGTGCCAAAATTGCCTCTTAATTAGATTTTTTAATTATTATATACGGGCAATTTTGGTAATTTACGTAAAATTGTCTAGGAAATAATTAGAGGTGCCATACAACAGTCACCTAAAATGCAACCCTCTTATATTTTTTGAGTAATTATTTCATTTTTTCAAAATATGTGTTTATAATGAATAAATAATAAAATATTATTAAAGGTATACGATCTTGTAATATTTTAGACTCGCGATAATTTTTTGTTTACCAACTCTTGAGAAAAAGTTTGAAATTGTTTGCTTGTAATCGAGATCCTATTATATTTGAGAGATCAGTCTCCATTATAAAAGTGTGGGATCTAGAACTCAAGGCTCAATTGATGGTAAAAGAACTTTTAATTGGCAAAATAAAAGAGAGCAAGTATACCGTGAGATTGACCTCATAATAATTCTTATGAGCTCGCCCATGATTGTACCACATCACTATCATCTACAGGCACTACAAGAATTAACACTTTTGGCAACAAAAAAATTGGTCGCTAAAAGTCTATTTTTGGTCGGCAAAAGTTATTCGCGACCAATTTTTTTGGTCGCTACTTTGGTCGCCCATTGAGGGTCGGCAAAAGTAATTCGCGACCAAAATTTTGGTTGGTCGGCAAAAGTTGGATTTTGCCGACTAAATTTTTGGTCGCTAAATATTTAATTACCGCGACTAATTCATTAGGGGCATGGGCATTATAGAAGCAAAATTGCAGGACCCAATTTGCTGTCAACACTGCAGGGAGACGAACACAAGTCTGGTCCAGAGGCAACAACAGTGAAGTCAGGCCCTGAAACAGAATGTAGTAATAGATCAACAACAGGGCCAGATTTTGAAAAAGGAAAGAGTAATTCGCCTGCTTGTGAAGTCGTTCCTGCTGCTGCAGATTCATTTCCACCTCAGACTGAACCTATATGTTCAACCAATGGAACTGGAGATGATGTGGAAATGAAAGAGTTGTGTGATGCTGATTCAAGTGCCGATGAACCAACTGAAGAAAGCGCCGATAAATCGGACCCTGGGGTCATTGTTTTGGATGATTAAAATTTAAAACTAATACAAGGTTACTAGCTGAATTGATAAACTTTTATTTCTTGTTTCTTTATGATGATAGTGATTAGTCTGTTTCATCACTATTAGTCTTGCTGTGCAAACATCTTTGATTGGCCTTCATGGTGTTCATGCTGTTTTAAACGGTATAATTTTTTATGGAGCAACATATAATAATTTCATGCATCTGTAGGTAAGTTATAGTATATATTGTAGCTTTGCCTGCTCTTTGTTGTCCAGTGTTTTATTCATATTACATGCATTATGTGATTTTTTTTACATTGAAATATCTACAGAGAATCACGTTCCCATTTACTTCATATATGAATTTGACAATATTCAACTCTCATCATAATTCTAAGCTCTCCTTTGCAATTTACCATTGATTACAGACAGTTGCTGGATTAGCAGCAGATGGGAGGCAGGTTGTTGCATGAGCAAAGTTTGAAGCAACAAATTATGAAAGGTTTACATTATGAATGATGAAAAAACTATCAAGTCAAAAGAAAATATGTAGACAATAGATATTTATTCTCTATTTTGGTTTTCCTCTTAGGAATTTATGGATGAAATTTTTTAATAGTTCTTCTAATTCTGATATGAATTGTTACTTTTTTAATGAGATCTTACTATGCTTATGTCTAATTGGTAGTGGTAATGTAATGTAGGTATTTATGTCTAATTGGTAGTGCTAATGTAATGTAGATCTTCTAATTCTGGTCGATGTTGGGTTCGGTCTGGTCTGCTCTGTTGTGTTTATGTCTTTCTTCTACTCATCTCTCTCTGCCTTCTCGTTGCCATGTCTGCAGAGCTTACACTCTCCCAATCGAACCGTATCTTTTGCCCTAATGTAACTCCCCCCCTCCTCTCTCTCTCTCTCTCTATATATATATATATCTATATATACATATATGTGTGTATTTATTGATTCTGTAACTAATTTCAGGAACCACTTGAAGGCAAAATCATCACAAAGCTTCCATCTTCAATCTCCCACAACGGGATTCGCCTCACTGTCAATGGATCAGTCACCTTACAGGTTCTAGTTCTCTTGTTGTTTCATTTTCTCAGCTTCCAAACAAACATAGATTAAGCTGAAACTTCATATTTATATATTTGTTTAGGTCCGTGGTGGATCAGCTGGAGTGATCGAGTCTTTATATGGTGTTCTCAAGCCTATCCCAATTGTGTAAGCCATCTCCATTTCTCCCTTTTTTAATATCATTAACATTAGGATAAATACGAGTAATTTTTAAGTGGAATTAACAGTTAAAAGAGCAAAGAAAGATGAATTCTTTTAGTTATGAACATAGGGAAGAAATTCAAAAGCATGAATTTTTCAATTGATTGATTTTATTAACACTATGCCTCAATATAGGGAATTAATAAAAGAAAAGAATTATAATTTTAGAATTTTGATACATCAATATCAAGGACTGAAGAAATTTAAAACCTCAATTCAACTGATCTGATCCTAATGCTACAAGAGTATGCATTGAAGATTGTTTTGTTAATATAGGTTTTATTTCAAGAGTTTTACTAATAGAAATCCTTTCTTGGGTTGGCATCTAAGCTGATATTTATTAAGAACTCTATATTTGGTTGGTTGGAGTTGATGATTGAAGTATAAGATGGTTCCCATGTTGATTAGAGTAATTTTTAGAAAGATTTATGTCTTTGGCTTAGGCCTTGTCAGGATGGTTCCCATGTTGATTAATCATGAAACTTCATATTTTCAACAATGCTTATTGGATGGTGATACTGCCACATGTTATCACCCTTGCATCCAATATTTACTCCTTGGGGAGGTGTCAACAAAAAACAAAAAACAAAAAAAACTAAACTAAATTTGGAAAATCCGAATAATTCCTCATATCTTTCCATAGTTCCCTCTTGTAAGCAGAAACATAAATGAACTTTAGTAGAATAGATAGTTTTCAGAATAATAAAGGATAGTCATACATGAAGAGCTCAATATGTGTAAGATACAAGAAGTTCAAGGCTATGTGTGATTCATCCGAATATCACATATTTCTATAATAAATGAACAATGGTCATTTTCTGCATCTGGGCTGTTTATATGTATAGACAGTGTGTGATCTGCATATTAATTATTTCTTCTATGTACACTAATTGTACTTATAAAAAAAAAAAGAAGACACTAATTGTGGATTGTTAAATGCACCTAATTAAGTTTTTAACTTTCAGCATCTAATCTTGTTTCATTGAAGACAAGTTTGTGTTTACTCTAAAGAACTGCAGTGCCTTATGTTTCTATTTTCCGGAGGCTCAGTTATGCTATATGTAGTTAATATTTACATAGTGACCATTGAATTAAGGTGCAATTCCAAAATCCCTGTTTTGCTATTTTTGTTTGTGATCAAGTCAATAATTGTATACGTGCAGGTTAGGTTTAATGTTTGTGGGAGGCCTAGTTTTGGCATATGCTTCAGAACACCTGGGGATTGGATCATTTTTGAGAGGTTTTGAAGAGCATATGTTTCTTATGCTGATTTTCTTAGGCTTGTAAGGAAAGCTAATTTTTTTTTTGAGCAATTGACTTAGAGGATGCTCAACATGCTGATTTTCTTAGGCTTTGTAAGGAAAGCTTATTTTTTTTTGTTGACATGAAATGTATGTTTCTAGGAAGGATGGTGAACAATGTTATGTTATTGTTGCAGGAGCATGTTGAAGTATTCAAGTATTTAATCAAATTTCGATCTTTAAACAATGTTATTATTATTGTTGCTATTTTGCAGGTATATTTTTAAAGTTAAATATGACAAATTAATAGATTAAAAAAAAAGAAAAAAAATATCTATTGCGGCGTTTTTCAAAACGCCACCGTAGTTGTATTTTTAAAATAACAAAAAGCTATTACAACGTTTTTGAAGCGTCGCGAATGCCTGTGTGACGTCATGTGACCGTCGGCTGCCACATTTAGCGGCGTTTTTATAAACGCTGCCTATACTAATTTTACGACGTTTTTAAAGCGTCATATACTTACAGCGACGGCGGCGTCCTCGGCGTTTGGTGGTAAGCGTCACTGAAGGAATTAGTGGCGTTTTTAAGACATATAGCGGCGTTTTTAAAACGCCGCTAAAAGTCATTTTTCCTGCAGTGAAAATCAAGTATATTAATAGGAATAAAAATCAAGTGCATAGACTAATTCGCACATTTCGGTTCAAATCAAGTATATTAATAGGAATAAAAATCAAGTATATTCAAGTGACCATTAACTTGAGGTCGAGACCATTTGTGCTGTGGGGATTGGTATTTGTCAATTTGTTCTACCCTTCCAATTCTTATTTTTGATTTGTTTCCATCACTAACCAAACCAAACTGGCCCAATACACATCGGTTGGATTTGGTTATTTAGTTTTCCCATTAACTATGGTGCATATGGCCACAAAATGAATAGGTTTGGCTCACATCTCATAATCAAACCATAAAGCACTTCCGAGAGTACAAAGAATGCGGCATTGATGACATACTAGGAGATTTATCTCTGCAGCTAATAGGGTATTCCATGAGCTTTCAGCATTTCACATGCTATGTAGTGTATGAACTACCGACATTTTTCTACTATATAAGTTCAGAACTCTGAATTAATGTTTTCTCTCTCCCCCCTACGCTTATTTAGATTTTTTATTCAAATCATTTCTGTGCAAAAAGTGGTGCTAATAGAGACAAAGTGAACGGATGTGAGGATTCTCTGAGGTGCAAACTAGAACAGTTTTACGGCGAAATGAAGGTTAAATATTCCTACCAGAAAATGAAGCAGGACAGCGTGTCTCAATCTCCTGAGTTTTACATGCTTCAATTGAATGGCACTCTTTGAGATCAAACAAATGCATGTATTCAATATCTAACTTGGCAACATATTCAACAATACAACAAAGGGCTTTACATGTGTTTATTTGTGTAATCAATACATTCAAAGGACTCCACATCTAAACTAGTGCTCGTTCTTCTATGATTTTACTTACAGAAAGACTATAGCAGTCAAAAGGCCGTGAGTACAATAAAACAAATGTTATTGGTTTTGTTGTCAAATCAATTTCATCTCATTAGCTACATATCATGGGTATTTACAACATCATGATCATGACTATTAACCAACTTTTGCTCCAAATTACCTACACTCGAAGAGGGTAATATCTGAAAGAAAGGAACAAAGAAAAGGCAGCATTACCGTTTCATGTTTACTATTCATTTGTTCCCAAATAATCTTTTTGTAATGCATCTCTTCCTTACTGTGCAGATATTTGTCAACCTGTAAAAAATTTGACATTGTTTCGAAGTTATAAATTCACTGATCTGATAAGTCAATCAGGTAACATTTACCAATTAAGTCAAGAACACAACTTGCTTTAAAACTTGCAGCATACCTCAACATCATCGATATCAGAAAGGCTTTCTGACTCGTCAATTGCTGCCATTCTACTCAGATGCTCATATCTATGCAGCTGACCAGATACCTTGTTACCATCTTGGCATCCATCAGAAGCTCCTGAAACATCAGAATGTTACTTTGACTTAAGCTTTCAAGTTTAATCCCTAAAATAATGCATGACAGGAATTTCATGAGAACAATTCACTACAACAAGTTGGGTCTTGAATGACGAATGACCAGATACCTTGTTAATGCATCTAATTTTTCTAG